AGAAATGCAAAGAGAACAAAGCAAAAAGCATGCAAGACATATCAAAAATGGGAGAAAACACCCAAAAAGCAACCAACCCCCCCAAGACCCATCGGAAACGGGGGGGGGGACAAAAAACAAACAAACCTCCCCCAAGACCCATCACAGCACAGACACATAACCCCCCCAGCCAAAAATCACGCTGCAAAAATACCCAGAACGATTTTTTAAAAGTGCATATAAAGCAACACCTTACCTTAGCAAGCAGCCTCCTCATATAAAGCAACACCTTATCTTAGCAAGCAGCCTCCTCAGATCGCACACTCTCTAACTGCTGGAGCGAAAAAGCTACAAAGAAGCAGCCTCGTCGCCACCTACAGTTAGCTATTTTAATTTCCCACCCTTTCCCCTCGCCTTTTTTCTGTTTGTAAATCAAAGCTCCGTTCGCAAGTCAAAGTAAAATTTTGCAAACGGAGCTATTCTCAACTCAAAACGTCCGTAGGTCAAGACGTTTGTAAGTCAAAGCACCACTGTACACCCAACCCCCACAACCCCTAAAAATAATCCCAGACCATAGAACAAATAAACAGCTAAATAAAACAAAATAATGGAAACAGATTTCCGGTGGCACAGGGTTGAAGGGCACACTAACTGAGAGGGAGAGTATCTTTAGAGGCTTCTTTAAAAAGTGTGCTTTTCAGCTATCTTTTAAAATTCTGGAGGGAGGAAACTTGTCAGATCTCTAGTGGGAGTTCATTCCAAAGTGTGGGGGCCACTTCCAAGAAGTTTCACATTCTAGTTGAAGCCTTCCTTGCCTTCCTCAGCATGACCACCCACAGCAGCAAGGCCTGAGAAGATTGAGTGGAGCAGGCAGCTTTTCTGTAGGATAGACACTCCAATAGATAGCGAGGCCCTGAACCATTAAGGGCTTTGTATCAAGCCCACATATCCATTTCTATCAAAAAAACCAGTATGGACATAATTCTAGCACCAAATGCATTTTTCAGATACCCTTATTATTGCTATTTGCTGTAAAAGAGTACTAAATGTGTGACCTGTTGGTGTCTTTAATGGTAGCGCTGCAGAAATACAAGATACAACCTTGAAACACATGCTGTTTGTTGCAGGAAATTAAAAAGTTCATCAAAAATGTGTCTGAGAAAATCAAGAAAACCAGAGACAAGTATGGCATTAATGACAATGGTACAACAGAGGTAATCTACTTCTTAAATTACACAATAATTGCACATCTTCTAGCAGATGAAAATTGGGACTTGGGGGGGGGTGTTTTGCAATCCTTTACTTTTGTATTGAAACTTATTGACAAAATCTGATCCACTTGCCCTTTATATAGCTCAAGGCTTTTTTCTACCTACTTTATATTACATTTGTCTAATCTGTAGCCAAATGGCCTACACTGGAGTTCTAACACATGCCAGTTTTGAAGCTCAATGCAATTGTAAAGTAATTTTCCTTTTCTTTTAAGGGTTTTAATAAAATGTTCAACCTTCTAGTGGATCTGGTTGTTTGCACTGTTGAAATGGTTGCAGGTTGAGCATGTTCCAACAGTTTTTAAAGATGCCTTTGTACAGTGTTCATAATACATGCATATGCACTGGGTCTTGTGTAATACATAACCTGTGCATTACATCTGAGTCTTTCAGTGGTTCAGCTATTAAAGACTGGAGGAAAACATTTGAACACCTGAAGAATCTTGGTGGCTGTATGTGACATTTTTAAAATGCTTTCCTTAAGCGATGTGCACTCAATTTTCAGCCCCACTGGCCAGGGTTCCACCTCTCTCACACATGACTTGACACACCCCCAGCACAGGGTACTGGAACCAAAGGGGCTGAAAATTGTTGTGTGGAGGAGGAGGAAAGCTGCACGGAAGGATGCAGAGTTGCATGCACGCCTTAGAGGAAATCTTGTCCTTAAGGTTTATCTGAAACTCGAAATGCTTCCGGTAGTTTTCCAGAGATTTCAGGCACCAAAAAACAGGACTGTACTGAACATAACTGAGCACTAAACCTCTATATATTGTGCCCCAGGTCACAGGAGAAAAAAATAACCAAATTGGCACGAAGAAACTTTGACCACAACAAATCATGACAATTACACATTTACTGGTATCTAATTTGGTATTATGGGGGCATAGGTTTTCAAAGAATTCTGTCTAGATTTAGAGGAGCAGAAATCGAAGTAAGTGAAGATAGGAAAACAGGAAGAAGTAACAGAAAAGGTGAAAATATAGTGTCATGATATTCAAATTTTCCATGTCTTCACTAGATGCTTATCATAACTTTACATTGGTCCAGCTCAGTTGTAACGGGAAACAAGTGAGGATTATACTTTCGTTGTTTATATGTCATCATTCCTCACAGAGGGCTCAGGGTAAGGCTAACAACTTACATAACACAAAGTCAGATTTAAAAATAACACTATTAAAAGCGTGATCCTAAAAACAGAGATTTAAAAAATGAGATAAAGCAAATATCACATTTCTATGAAAACATGCACAAATACATGTCTTTTTAGATGACACCGAAACAACAATAGAGAGGGAACAACCAAGCCTTCAGTTGAGGACAACAACGAAGTTCCATAGCCAGATGGCTGCCATCAGGACTTTATCATGGTTTTGTATTGTCACTTGTTGTGAAACCATAAACAGTTTAGATATCAAATTCATCATGCCTTAGTGTAGAGTGAGGAGGAATTCTCAGTATAACTTTTTCTCAGTGCCACCCTAGATCATTAATAGGCAGCACAGTACCAGTTATCTGTTTTTTGAACACATTTCTAATATTTCTGTTGTTGTTTTAATTGCTTTAGCCATATGTTTTATACCAGTTGGACCGGATCACTCCATCCCAGCTGGAGAAGTTTCTGGAGACCTGTAGAGAAAAGTACATGAGGTATGGTATTTTCTTTTTTCTTTAGGTGTGAATTAACACCTTTTAAATTGAGTCACTTATCTTTGATTATGAGAAAATAATTGGAAGAATTAAGCGTCTGGAGTTGAAACTATAAAGTTCTGTCCTCTACCCACATGATTTTTCTCACAGTATCATTCCAAATAAATTTAAAAAAATTACAGTGGCTTTTCACATTTCATCAAATTTACAACAATAAACAAGTGAACACTTCCTTTCAGATTTATGTAACATCATTTGCTTTCTCTTGCACATTCTTCAATTTTTGTGCATACCAATATTGTCTTTTAAATTTGGCATTTTTGAGTATACAATACAATTTTTTCAACAATAAGAACCACTCATTTTAACTACAGTAATCAAACCAAGTATAGGTATAAATCTCTAAGATTTCCCAGTACTAATACTGGTGGATTTAAGGGAACTATGTTATAACACAATTCTCCAATGTGACATTTATGGTCATAGTTAATTATGACCATAGTTAATTAATCATGTTAATTATGCCTGCAAGTGTAAGGCAAATGGCATAACTTTCAGAAGCAAATTGTCTCAAGTTAGGAAAACACAATAGACATTATCTGACACATACTGTCATGTGTCTCAGTGAGCAGTAGATGTTATATATCATGATTTCTTAAAGCAGTTTCCCTCAAAAGGTTATACTGTTTGTGTTACACCAGTGTAAAATTCCAATAGGATTTTGACCTTTGTCGTGTGTTTTTAAAAGTTACATTGGGTATTTGAATTAGACTTAACAGTAACTGTTAAAGTTCATGTTAGAGTGAAAGGGTTGAACACAGCCTCACTTCTTGGACATGCAAATAATCTTTTAATGTGATCCAAAACAGAAAATCTCAAATCACAATGAATGAACTAAACACAAGGAAATGCAAAACTGGAAAATTATGCTATAGTCAAGTTTAATAGGGAAGTTTAATAAATCCCACTAATAGTTATTGATGATTAAGTGCTTTGGGTCTGTAGTCTCTCAGTAGGTGTGTTGATATGAGAGAAATAAGATGATTTTAACAGCTTCTTTCCATTAATTTATGTTTTAAATTTGCATACCACTGTTTAACCCATAATGACATGAAAACAACAGTGGGAAATACCAAGCTGAAACCATATAAAAATATAAAGCATCCTAGAGAAAGCAGTAGTGGAAAGATGGCATGTGTGAGTCATGTGATTTAACCACTTGGCTAAAATGAATCGTTTGGTCTTGATGGAAAACTACTCAAGAATACCTGTTCTCATCTGCTTGAGCTCCTTGGTAGAACGGTGGGATGGAAAGATAATAATCAGAAACCACTTAATTAATCACCTTTAATACTTTGCAGTTATATTAGACTTCAGTTTGTGTTCTCTTTGATTCTCCATAAAAACAGGAGCAACATATATTGCTTCCTTATAGACTGTATTGCATACCTGTAAAAGAAGATAATGTTTACTTTCAGTGTTTATCTATTTACTAGTGAATGTACTTGACATCATCTGGGTTAGAAACTCATTAGCTCTCTCCTCCGTACACCAATGTTCTTTCTCTGGTTATTGCCATTTCTGATGTCATCATAAAAGACAGCACACAGAAACTAATGACAGAACATTTCAGCTTCCGAGGACACTCTTGTCACAGATCTTGAAGTAGCTGATGTAGAAAAGACAGATTATAAAAATACACAGTGTTCTAAAAAGCCCTGATCTGTGTTTACTACATTAAATATATACTGGAATTAATGAAGATAGTTACCTTCAGCCTTTTCCTTTTTAGATCTCACCTTATTATTCCTTTGATCTACAGTGTGTAGAAATTGTATTCCTACAAGGAAGTGTACATGACTTTCTTCCTTTCACATTATCCTCACAGCAACCCTGTGAAGCAGGATAGACTTAGAGAGTGTGACAGTCACAAGGTCACTCTGTGAGCTTCATACACATGTGGAGATTTGAAGTCGGGTTTCCTTAATTCATATCAGCAGATGCAGCTGAATTAGCAGAAGTGAATTGATTGTTCCAGTGATGATGGGTGCAGAAAAAATCAAGGGCGGTTACTAGATAGCAGCAATAGTGGGAGGTGATGGCAGCGGAGGATCCTTCATGGACATTAGCATTCATACTCAAGCTGACACTTGTTAGTACTGCATAGACGAAAGCAATGTTAAACCACTTCTGATATTTTATATCTTGAAAACCTTATGATGAGACATCTTAAAATGAAATAAGTGATAGAGCTAGAAATTGAGACTTCCATGTTGAAGGGCACTCAAATCTGCTACTGGGGAAGAGCAAAGATGAGTACAACATTCTTAATGAAGTGATCAGATTTAAGCTGAAAGGACATCTAATTGCTGGTATTCATAAATGCAGCAGGAAAGTCCAAAGGTGCATGATGTAACTGGAAGATGGAAGGTTGGAAGAATGAGCCAAGATAAGCTGATTCATCATGAAATGAGAGGTGGAATATTTAAGCATTGTAATATGTGTTGTGGGTGAACAAAAGGGACTGGAATATGACATCTTCAAGTAATTAAAAACATTTCACTGGCTACTGGTTCATTTTCAGACACAATTCAAAAGGATGGTGGTGACCTATAAAGGCCTAGATGGCTTGGGTCCAGGCTGTGTCTAAAAAACCATGTTGCCCTATATGAGCCTGTGTTGATTCTAAGACCTTCAGAAGCCTCCCCCCTCACCATTTTCAGAGGGAAGGCACATGTAATGGCACCTTCTCAGTAGGTTCTCCCAGGCTAGGGAAGCTAGGAGACCCCCCCGCTGCCCTTAGTCTGCTTCTACCAGCAGGCAAATACATTTTTATTTAAACAGGCCTTTGACCACTGATTAGGCCCTTTTAATTAGTAGATGTTGTTTTGCTGATAGAAGTATTGTTTTAAAATGATTTAAATTTGTATTGAATTCTTTTCAAAAGTACTTACCACAATTATTAGTTGTGAGTTTATTTTAGTCTGATAATTTACTTAATACTGTTTTAATATTGGGCTTATTCTGGGAGGAAAGTAGGAAATAAATAAGTAAACCTAAACTTTCTCTAGAAGCTGAAATGAGTAAACTGAAGATTTCATACTTTCAATGTATCATGAAAAGACAAGACTCAGTGGAAAGGGCAATAATGGAAGGAAAAATGCAAGTCAGTAGGAAAAGAAGTTTGAGCCCGGACGGGATGGATTCACCCAATACAAGAAGCCATAACCTTGAGTATGCAAGAGCTGTTAATGACAGGCCCTTTTGGAGAGCCTGAATTCATAGTGTCATCATGAGTCGAAATCAGCTTGATGGCACATAGCAGACCCACATCTACATTCTTGCCAGAGGATGAGACCAACACTTGCTCCAGTGGTTCTTATCCTCTGGCAATATTACTGGTGGTGATATTTTAAAACCTAAATTTTGAATGAATTAGACATGTTTGTTTGTTAAGAACAACAAAGCACAATTACTATTGAGGATATAAGATTCCCTCTCAAGCGACCATGGGGAATAGTTATTGGAGTAAATATCCTTGGTTTTTACCCAGTCTCAACATTGCCTTACATGAAAATACCTTTATTTCTAACCAGCATTCTCCTCACATTGTTTTTTGGAACATGGAAGTCTTATTTAACACAAGACAAGGACAGTACTAGTCTTGAGGTAGTTGCTGCTCTCAGAGTCTATTCGCTTTTTTATAAAGAAGGTCCAAATTATGCCGTAGGATTGTTTTCCTGGGACTTAATTGGGGGTGACAGCTGTCCTCTGATCTGCTGCTTTCTCTGTTGCATAAGGTCTTTTAGTAAGCATATTGCTGCTAGGAGTTGGTGCAGCTTGGATCCCTACCTTTGCTCTTCTTTATGAAGACAGTTAGGAAATGTTATTTAAAAGAATTGTCTGATCCTGATCTCCTTGGTTGAGATCACTTTGCCTGTATCATTTTCCATGTGGTATTCACATAGAGGGGCTGGTCCAGTGCTCTTGGCAACAGCCTCAAATGAATATCATCTACCAAATTAACTCAAATTAATATAATAAAGAGTCTCTCTTTGCATACCATGTGTTTTATCCCCTAAACACTTCCAGCATTCACTTTTACAGTATTGTTGCCGTTTGCAGTCAAATCACAGATTTTTTTATATAGGGTGAAATGTTTTCAGTGTACATGGACAGCCTTTAAACGTGTTTTAGAATAATTATACAGGAGACCTTGTTATGCCATTCTAATGGGAAAGAGGCATGAGAGAGAGTACTCCTTGGAGGAGTCTGTTGAACAAATGCAATACCATGTGTTATCTTCTGTTATACACTTCATCATTATCCATATCCAGTATATTTTTATCATCACCATCTTCTGTCTACTAGGTGAAAATTGCACACATAGGTATGGGGGCTTTCCAGTAAACTGTGCAATACTCTGTATAATTCCAATAGCCAGAGCAATTGCCCAAATACATCAAATATGCAAAATACAGAAAAGATTCAAACTCCTTTGTACAATCGTGAACGAATGCTCTTGGGTGCTGTTTCAACCCCCTGCCACTGAAACTGATGAGGGATGAGTGTTAAGACATTTGTGCTAAGAATTTTATGGTTTGGAAGGAGAATTGGGATTATCGGACACAATATCCCTGCCAGGTTATTATACTGGGAAATCTTAGCTTTCATATTTTAAAATGGATTTCTGGACCTTGGGTAATGTTTGCTTGCAAGAGTGTTCCCAGTGCCTGGTGAATTCAGAGGTGTGGGGGGGAAGTTGACAAAAAGATTTCCACATGTCAAAATAGTGGAGTCCATGAGTCCTACACAGTTTCATGTCCCTCACCAGAATTAAAAGAAACATAAGAAATTATTCAGAAGCATGTAAAGTTGAGGATAAGTTGTACAAAAAGAAAAGTTACACACATGAAGTTACAACATTTATCTGGTCTTTGGTTGCACATTTCTGGTTTTACCTCTGGTGTACAGATGGCTCTGGCAGCACTGTTTGGTAAGCACGTTTTACTAGATCTTCAGACAAATAATGACTCCAGAGTGCCTAGTTATCTACTAGGAAAAGTATGAGGCTTTATCCTTAGAGATCTGTTACAGCTCAGCCATGAACTCTCCGAAATGGATGTGTAGAGGTAAAATGAATGAATGAACACAAACATTTGCTTGCTTTTACAATCTAGGGCACAGATGGAGCCTGGTTCTGCAGTGGGTGCTCTGTGCGCTCAGAGCATTGGTGAGCCTGGCACGCAGATGACACTGAAAACATTCCATTTTGCTGGTGTTGCTTCAATGAACATCACACTAGGAGTGCCAAGGATCAAGGAGATCATCAATGCCTCCAAAGCAATCAGGTATTCCTGTCAGATTTTAATATCAGCTTCAATATTGACTAGATTTCAAGTGAAATAAGTGACCATACTGTTTGTCTCTCATCAGCTTACTGGTTATAGAACTTGAGTCTGGCCAATTGCTCTTGTCGTCATTGTGATCTGAAAATTCTTCAGATCTATTCAGTGCTGTTTCCTAAGAAATGAAGCATTGATTGTATTTTCCTTTGAAAAGCAAACAAGATTAGCAATTTGATTTCTGCCTGTAAGTTACGTACAACAAGATGTTTGCCGCTTGTCTGAAACTGCACTGAAATGTCCTAATTTTGTAAGGAGTGAAGCCAACAGAAGGAGAGCTGTCCGAAAAAGAGATAATAGCTGTTAGGCCAGCTAGTCATGGTGTGCCAGACAACACTTCATCCTAAGACACCGAGATAAGTGAAAATGGGTTAATTTAATATGTGTAATTCTATTGTAATTAGTAGTCTCAAGAGTTGCTTGGTAAAGTCAAGAGATTCTTTGAACAGGATAAAGGCTTTCAATTAGGTCCTATAAAAATACAGATGTTATAAAAGATGTATGTCCATATAGATATATAAAGATACCAGGCTAGTAACTTTTTCTCAACTGTGCTTTTGCTGCCCATATGTAGTACCCCAATTATCACGGCACATCTTGACACTGATGATGATCCAGACTTTGCCCGGTTGGTTAAAGGAAGAATAGAAAAGACACTCCTTGGAGAGGTAAACTGTTCCCTGTGGTTGCTTAATACACAGCATTTCAGAGTCTGTTCTCAATGACTGCTGTAATGTTTAACCGGAAATGAATACTCTTGAATTGTTGTCTTTTTTTAAATTGTAGATTTCAGAATATATTGAAGAGGTTTTCCTGCCTGATGACTGCTTTATCCTTGTCAAGCTTTCTTTAGAACGGATTAGATTGCTGAGGCTGGAAGTGAGTGTGTCGATCTTCCATATACTTTGTTTGAGAAGTGGGTTTTTGCAAGTGGTTCACCCTCAAAGGCAATAGTGCAGTCGTGTGTAGCTATACATAAGTAGGTCCCAATGAATCCAATGGGATTTAGTCTCAGGTAGGTATGAATTGGATTGCAGCCTCATCCTGAGGCATAATGGGGAACCTTTGGCCCTCCGGTTGTTTCAGAAAACAACTTTCATGTTTCTTTGCCCTTAATCATGTTGTATGAGACAATGGAGCAAAATTGTCTGCATAACTAAAAGTTACCCACCTTTACACTGAAAAGCAAGCCCCACTGGATGTAGTGAGTAAACACTGTATAGGAATGTACAGTAGCTGAAACTTGCAGTTACTTTGCATTCAGTATTTCAGTTAATGGGCAGAATTCTGTTGGAGTTCTGTACACATAAAGGAGGGGAAAAATGAAAGTCATTGTGGCTTATTAATGAGGTGCTGGTTGAGTACCTGGTGGTCACATGACTGGCATGTCATTCATTAGCTTTAATTGTTGCAATTTCTGCATTTTTGGTTCCATGTGCATAAAAATGTCAGTAGAATCTTGGCCAAGGTATGACTACATCAATCCACTGTACCCCATTGAGAGCCTACATGCAAGCAGGAGCCCTTCCTCCACAAATTTACTAACTTTCACATGTAGAAAGTGATAATAGAGGTGGGGGAGGTCCAGATACTCCCCTCAAAGTGTGACGAGTCTGTCTGTGAATGTTAAACCTGAACAAGGCTCTTGCCTCACTTCTGTAATAGCTGTAGACCTTTCCAATTCTACACATTATACTGAATATTCCAGCTCCGGATTTTGCCTCGAGGTTAACTCCTGAAGCCTTTTCCATGAGTGGATATAGCCACAAGGCAGTGGAGGTTTGAAATTGGAGTTTTCCTTCTCCTAGATGGGCTGCCTTCCATGGCTGACGAGCCCCACCTATGTTCATGAAATTTCTGATTTCTAGCACTTCAGAGTAGAGTCGAGAAAGTATACTGCATTTTATGCATGTCTTCTTGCCCCTATTTCTCTGGATTGGTAAAATGGCCTGTAGCACTACAGCTGCAGGCAGGAAGGAACCACTTTTCATGTAGGGGGCTATTAAAAGACTCCCTGTATATCGTACACTAACATTTAAGAAAGAAGGCTATAGAACACAACATCCTGAGAGTTACAAAGTTCTCTGCAGGGGACCTGTAGTCTCCCACCATTTAATCTGAATCACAATACACTTAAGAGTTGTACCCCTGGAACTGATTGAATAATAAAAATTATGTAGAATGATGTGTGCAGCTGACTTGAGGCATGGGCAGGAGTGCCTTACAAAACCAGGTGACGGGTGGTCTCACTCTAAAATTTCATGTTCAAGGAGCATCTGCTTCCTTCAGTAATGAATTCATGTGGCATGGGATATGTGGCAGCTGCTACTTCAAACTTTATGCTGGAAATTTAAGAGTAAATAAATCACACTGCTGTAATTCACTAAACCTTTCTCATTCTTTGGTGCCCATTGATTTCCATTATCACATATTGTGGAAATGAATATTTCTGGGGCTCCTGCACAACAGCACATACAGTACCTCCTTCTTAAATAATGTCTTCTGATTATCATCAAATAATCCATCACAGCATTTGGCCAAGCTTGTATTTTGGGTAGCTTATGGCATCGGAATCATATGCCTACAGAACTGGACTTAGTGTCAGAAGAATTATGCAGATACTAAAATGATGTTTTCTGCTATAGGTTAACGCAGAGACGGTGCAGTATTCTATTTGTGTCTCAAAGCTGCGGGTAAAGCCTGGGGATGTGGCTGTCCACGGTGAGGCTGTTGTGTGTGTTACTCCCCGGGAGAATAGCAAGAGCTCAATGTACTATGTCTTGCAGTCCCTGAAGGAAGAACTACCAAAGGTAAGAAGGATTTTCCATCTTACAAGTGTGTTACATGGCAGCAAATAGAGTATGCATTCAAAATACTTGCTGTTTCAGTACTTACCCTTTTTTCCCCTCATTTTGGTTTTGAATAGAAATGGGCACAAACTAAAAAACAAATTGGAAAATTTGTCAAAAATTGCTACTTTGTTGATTTGTATTTGTCTAAATCTATGCCCCAATGAATATAAATCAATGAATTTTTAGCAAGTTTTGATTCATTGGGCTATAAAACACCCCTCCCCCTGGCATCTAGAGACACCAAAATCACAGAGAAGCTTCCCCTGATTCTCTACTGAAGTTTCTCTGGAATTTTGGTGTTTCTAGATACTTAGGAGTTGTTTTATAGGGTTTTAAAGGCAAAAATGATGACTCAATTTGTCAGGAAAAAATCTTACGTTTGTTACTTGTGATTTGTTCCCTTGATGAATCAAAAGAAATCACCATTTTTCTGATTCATGCTCATCAAATCACAGAGAAGCTTCCCCTGATTCTCTACAATTCCTCAAAGTTTGGTGAAGATTGGGTTTCCCAAAGCCAACTGCTAAAGGGCACTTTCCTGGAGGACCCACTTTGTGGGTGTATAATTTGGATGCCTGAAACCCAATGTTTACAAAACTTGGAGGGATTGTAGAGAAGACTCAGGGAAAGCTTCTCTGTGATTTTGGTATCTTTAGATTCCCAGGGAGAACTTTCCTGGGGGGGGGCTCTTTGTGGGTGTATAACCGGACCTCTGAAACACAAACTTCACTAAACTTGCAGAGCTTGTAGAGGAGAATCAGATGAAGTTTCTCTGCAATTTTGCTGTTTCTAGATACTTAGGAGTTGTTTTATAGGGTTTTAAAGGCAAAAATGATGAATCGATTTGTCAGGAAAAAATCTTACATTTGTTACTTGTGATTTGTTGCCCTTGACGAATCAAAACAAATCACCATTTTTCTGATTCATGCTCATCTCTAGTTTAGGAAAAATGTCTGATAATTTGAAAACTTGTTGAGAACTTTAAGCCTCATAAATTGTATGTACTGTATATTTACAGGAAAGAGATCTGTTACTCACCTGGCTGTTGAGACTTGCAGAGTTTTATGTTATTCATATTATATAGATTTGAATGGGGTGACCAAACTCTGTCCCTCCAGATGTTTTTGGACGACAGATCCCATCAAGGATTTCTGATCTTGAATATTCTAGCCACCTTCCTTCTTGCAGATCTTTGGAATAGGTTCTTACTGACATCCATCGATCTGTCTATAGAAAAGTAGGTGGGGGCTTTTTTGGCTACTGCAATTACATGGTACCTAAAGAAACATTTATTATGGCCTCTACCTTTTTTTCCCCTTTCAAACATAAAGGTGGTTGTGCAGGGTATCCCAGAGGTCTCTCGTGCTGTCATTCACATTGATGAACAGAGTGGAAAGGAGAAATATAAACTGTTGGTAGAAGGTGACAACCTGCGAGCTGTCATGGCCACACACGGTGTTAAAGGAACAAGAACAACCTCTAACAACACTTATGAGGTTGGTATGGTATGGTGCAGGGCAGTGTTTGAGAGATGGACCGAATGTTGAATTAAATTGATTAAATCTTGCCACTGCCATGAACTCACTAGGCAACCTAAAATACGCCACATTCTTACTTTCAATGTCAGTCCCTTATCTGCAATGTGAAAAGAATCTCATTTCACTCCATGATAGTGTTGGAAGGATCCACATGGTAACAGAGTGAAGCACTCTGAACAGGCTGTATGGATGCTTAGTGTGATGGTGGTTAAATATATGTTGTTCATAAAGCTGAGAAGCAAACCAAGCCAATTTTTTTGAACAAAGCAAAAATAGGGATGTGTGGAGGAAAGAGCTACTAGGAGACATCATACCACTGCAGGCAAGCAAAACATTTCTGCCACATCACTAAGTCTAATCTTCTAGGTTGAGAAGACTTTGGGCATTGAAGCTGCTCGAACCACCATTATTAATGAGATACAGTACACAATGGTGAACCATGGTATGAGCATTGACCGGAGACATGTGATGCTGCTGTCTGATCTGATGACGTATAAGGTCTGTTTTCTCTCGTTCTTTTTTTTTTTTTAACTACACAGGTTTACTGCTACCCCCTTTACCTTCTTTCCTTCCAAATAAATGTAAATGAAGAAAATAGTTATCTGTTGTTTTAGAAATGATGTGAGGGGCTCCGTGACATTGTCTTTCCTTACCTCTGTTATAGGAAGCTATGTAGCAGCCCAGTAATTGCATAAATTTGTTTGCTTCAAGTATGACCAAAGGCTTAAACCTATCAGAGAAGAGTATTACTCTCTCCTGGCTCATTCACAAGAGATTCGACTCTTGTTGAAGCCTGCCCTATGATTATATCCAAAATATACCTGTATGATGTTTCCTTAAATCAGCTGAGATCACATCAGGGTCAGAGACGTTACCTGCTAAGTCACACAGTCCTCTAATTTTCCTGTCCATATGATAGCATCACAATTATATTTACAGTGCATGTAAAAACTCTTGGCAGTAGCAGTTCTCTGTACCATGGGCCAGAAAAGAGATCTGCAGAGGTTAATTTTTCTTCCGTTATGAAGCAGGGACTCTCTGGGAAGTGAGAGTCTACCTTTCATGCTGGCTTCTGCATGAAAATGATCCCAAGGCCTTTTATTCTTGGTTTCTTCCAAGTTTCATTCTTCTTTCCTCTTCCAAACAGTTGCAGTCAAGACAGTCAGGGAGGTAGGAACCTTTGGAATGTGTCTTCTCAGGAATAGCCATAGTATATCTTCCTACGCCTGGTCTACCTTGCTTCCTCTGAGAAAAGACAGGAGAGTGTGAGCTCTTCTCTCACCTCAGGAGCTGAGAGGAATCAACTGCCACCAGCAGAAGCATGACAGAACCACAGTTCCCTGTCTTTATTTCACTCCCAGTCTGGGAAGGCAGAATGGGTACTCAGTAAAGCGGGCCAGTTTCTTCCCATGGTCAAAGCCAAGATTTGATGAGGAGAATCTGAGCTCTGTGCCTCCATATTCCCTGGGTGAAGAAAAGAAAAGCATGTGAATGGCAGGTATAGGTACCTCATTCTCCCCAAATGTAGTAGTGGGAACCCAATGGAATGTTGGCAGCTTGTCAGCGCTAGATATGTTGTTGTCATGGCCCATCCATTTCTGAGTACAGTTCTGTTGTTCAAACACACTGAGGGTCAGGCCAAAAGTTCAGTCCAATAAACCATTCATCTTGTCATATAGAGAGCAGACAAAAGCACAGTCATCAGCTAATCTGTGTCACAGGGGTTTCCAAGAGGTTTGGGTAAGCTGAAATTGGGTCAGTTCGGGTCAGTTTAGGGGTTTGTCTTCCACACTTAGCTAGCTGAGAAAGAAGAATTGATAGCTCGCAATATACCTCTCCCAGGCCTCCAGCTGTTTCCAATTAATTACCAGATGTGTTTGACCTTGAGATGCCATCTTTGTTTCTGCTCCAAGAGCTGAAGCTCTCGCTGCTCCTTTCAGCAGATGGCCCACCCATCAATCAGATTCCCTTCATCTTCTTGAGTCTTCCCTGGTAGAACTGGCCTCTGCCCTCCACCCCATTTTCCTTGGGAGGACTGGCCTCCGCCCTTCCCTCCTGAGCTTCTTGAGAGGGTGCTGCCAGTTGGGCCATCAAATTCCCCCTCAAATTCTCCTCTGGCTGTGAGATATCATCTTCCCCTTCTGAAGATGACTCAGCTGTTTCCCTAGTTGGGACCTTGTTGTAGATCTCTCGGGAAGCAAATAATCAGGGAGTCCCACTCAACCTTCCTTTCAACCATTTACTACAGACTGTAGATTCTTGCACACTGAATTTCTGAAAGGGATGAACAAAATAGCTGAGGTCTTGTTTGCCGTGAATCAGAGACACAGGTACTGCAAACACAGGAAAAAAAGGGGGAAACATAGAGCCAGTTGTTCTTCATCCTCAAATTCCCAGTCCCAGGAATGCTGGCACAAAACACATGAGATAGATAAGGCAATATGAGCAGTAGTCACACACTCTGTTCCACCTTAGGATGCAAGTTTGTAGGGAATATTGTAATCTAAACAAGTCTGGTGCAGGGTCACATTATAGTCACCTGTATGACCAGGGGGTTGATGTTCACCTTGGCTGTGAGATACATATCCTTAGTTTCTTTTACTCCATCCCCATCAATCTTCTGAAGCTATCGTAATACTACTTCAGTGGTCTTCTTTAATATCCACCCAGAGACCACAGCATAGCTACCTGCTTGCCTGCCTTCTTTGAGCTGAGCTCCTAACACTGTCAGCAATTGTACTTTGAGGAGTTAATCATAATTTTTGTCTTTGAATGGTATTCCTTTTTTTGAACTAGGGTGAAGTTCTGGGCATTACTAGGTTTGGCCTGGCAAAAATGAAGGAGAGTGTATTGATGCTTGCTTCTTTTGAAAAGACAGCTGACCACCTCTTTGATGCGGCATACTTTGGGCAGAAGGATTCAGTGTGTGGTAAGTAGTCTTGAGTCACCCTGAATTAAGATGAATGCCTGTCATTAGGCAAGGCCCTGTAAATGAATTATTGGTATATGTACACCCTCAAAAACTGAAGCTCCAAAATGGGAAGTGAGCAAAGGAACAAGGCATTTTGTTGTTGCTGCCATAAAGAATCTCCCTGAAAGAGGTTTAATGTTTTCTTTCCTGGCCTTTTAAAAGCCAGATAATAAAGTTTCCATTAAAAAAAAAAGACCATCCAGATGCTGGTTGTTCATATGGTCATGCTACGGTGTTATAATTTTAATGAAATGGGTGCTGTTTTTATTTGTTTTTGAAGATGGAAATGCATGCAGACTGTTGCTGGTTAAATCCATTACTTTCCCACTTAGAAGGCTCTCCAGTGTCTCGTCTCAGATCTCTCAGAAAGCTCGGAAAGCTACTGTCAGTTAGAGGAGACACAACAGAGCCAAACAGACCTGAGTGAGGTCTGTCTTACTGTAAGGCAGCTTCATGTATTAGAGCAGTGGTTCTTAACCTTTGTTACTCGGATGTTTTTGAACTGCAACTCCCAGAAACCCCAGCCAGCACAGTTGGTGGTGAAGGCTTCTGGGAGTTGCAGTCCAAAACTCCTGAGTAACCCAAGGTTAAGAACCAGTGTATTAGAGCACACTAACATTTGCAATTTGGATAGCACACTGAGATCATTTCCTTGACTGGATTTTACTGAATCATTGTGATCCCCAAATGTGTTTCACTTCAGCTCCCATCAGTTAGGACTCCTGTTAGCCTAACCAGGGTAGCTTGTGGTCAGGTGTGATAGGAGTTTTATCCCTATCCTGTTGTGTTCTAGTTGTGTTCTAGAATGGTGATGGAGCCACAAAGAACTCCTCTGTTATCAAGCAAGGAGGGAGGGGCGCTCCATCCCCTGTGGATTCACCTTTGCCTCTAGCTGACGGGAAAGATCCAGTTGTCTTGATTCCTTCCAGGGCTAGATCTAACCTGCTTGGTGAAACTTAACAAGTTTTGAGCCAGGCTTCCTTGAGCCCAAATGTTTCCCTTCCTTTCTCCTTCAGAAATGCTTCTTTGCTTTTCATTTTTTTGGCCTTCTCTGCCACCATCCCTGGTGAAACCCACATCCCAACATGGTTCATGTGTGGACAGGACCTGTTTTTCATAGGGAGAGGCAACTATTTTTCTTTGACAGGAGACGTTCCCTCTTCCCCAACTGCCAGTTCAGTGAACAGTTGGTAGGAATGACAAGAGAGCTGTACCACTCTAACCAGACCACACTGTCATTTATCTGTGGTGCACATAATGCGGTCAGGAAGCTGTGCCATCCCAGCTTTACTAAGCAAGTCCCTTCCTTATCAGACCAAACCACACTACCTTTCCCTGGCCTGCAGGAGAGAGTACAGAGGTTCTGTCTTATGAAGAAGTGCAAAGGTTTCCGGTCTTCTTCCTCTAGCTCGTCTTCTGCTGCTTTGACCTCAGATTTCCCATCCTTTTGATTGTTAGTTCACAACTTGGATTCAGGGGAGGGGGAGACAATAGAGGACCCACAACCTCTGGCACCAGATCTTTGCAAGATCACAGGAAGGACAAAAAGCGCCTTAAGTAGCAAAGGCCATGTTACATACAGCACTGATGTTACCTGTCTGTCATGGGTTGGAGGGAAAGTTCCATCCTATGGGGAGTGGAAGGCGGGACATCAGGAGGAGGGGCTGTACTGTATATATATGTGAAGCCTGTGTGGAGAAGTTTAGAAGCTGAGGAGAGAAGCTGAAGGAGAAGCTGGTGTGGGAATCTGTGTGTCAGACAGGGTACTACTGTGTGTCAGTCAGTACCTACCTGATAGGTTCAGGTGTCTTTATGGGTAGCCAGAACTGATAGGTTCAGGGTCTGTGCTTTATTTAAAGGTGTTCTGTGTGAACCAAACTGGTGTATGTATGATTGAGACTAAGCCACGTTACTGTATCTTATTCACCTGATCATTTTATTTTCCCTGTGTGTTATTTAAATAAACCTTATTCCTTTGTTTGTTGAAAATCCATTCCTGGTCTGTGTGACTCCTTACAGGGAATGGTTGGTGGCAGCTTAGTGAAACTGTGGCATATCCCAGTAGGTCTGGGTTTGTCACAGGCCATACCCTCCAAAGCTTCCCCCAAGATAAATCTGAGGTTTCTATTTGCTTAGACTCCCATGCGAGGGGTAGCTATTTGAGAAGGAAATGGAATCCACCACAGCCAGCCAAGAATGGTTTTCCTCATACAGTTGTTTTCTACCAGTTTATATTTCAGAGATAACAGTGCCACCAAGTTCAGCCTCAATGAAAGCTACTCCCTAAGGGACTTAAGAGTAGTTGCTCTCTGGTTAAGGCATTATTGAACTTTTTCAGTCCAATCTAGGGAATGTAGGCTAGCTCCTCGTCTTGATTGATTTGCTTGAACTCTCTCCATTAACTCTGTCCTCCAGAAGATACAGAACATAGGAATTCACTGTAGGAAATACATCATTTCTGCATAATTTTTTATTGTGAATTTGGTGTGCAGGTGACAATTACTTTAATCTGGTCTCTGAAACTGCAGTATAATACTACTGTTAAATCATCTCTTAATCAGCCAAGACTCTGTATGTTTAGCATGATGATGTACAAGGGCATATTTAAAGAAAATGTGAGACTTGTCTATTTTTCTTTCTTAATCATCTCTAGGTGTTTCTGAGTGCATCATTATGGGTATTCCAATGAACATTGGAACCGGACTTTTCAAGCTGCTGCATAAAGCTGATAAGGAAGCAAGTCCCCCAAGAAGACCCTTAATTTTTGATAATCCAGATTTCCATATTCCCCTTACTACATAGCATCTGGACAGCACTGAATTACAAGCAGATGGTGTACTCTAAATGAGAGCATATCTGTGTCTCTCTAAACATGGTTAGGAAGCTGGGTACATGAGAGGTCATGACGTGCTCAACTGATCCACCACTGATGCTGGTGCTTATCTTCTCTTGTTTTAATCCGCAGAGCTGATGATGTTTGGTTTTGAAAAAAAGAATTTTCCCTTCTACTTTGGAGAGCCATAACAGATTGCAGGAACCCAGATCTCTCTGAAAGGGAATGTGCTTAATGTTTATTTGGATTTACATTGGAAGCTCAAACTATGGCAATAGGAACATTTTGCTTCTAACAGCTGTAGCAAACATCTGTCAAAGCATCCAATGTACTTTCCAATTTTATCAATGTTGGATAAAAGGGAGGGGGACTTCAGTTGTTTTTTTGTAATACATTTCCTTTTTTGCATTAAGTGTATCTTTGCTTTTGCCAGTTAACTTTCGACAAATATGACAACCTAAGGGTGGATGATATTGTAAAACTCAGTTCACCACAGGTTCATCATTAAAAAGAGACAGATTGAGAAATGGAAGTCCCTGTTATCTCTTTTGGGTAGTAAATTTCAAGGAGGACTTAAGTAGCATTTTAAAACACAAGGGTTGGTATTCATTGCAGTGAAGATTTTGTAATACTGGAGAATCATATGTAATGGTAATTTTAATTATTTTTAAAAAGAAATTCACCAAGCAATTCAGGCATGAAATACCTCTGCAGTTTAATAAGTGCAGTACAGTGCATGTTAATGATGAGCTAATGGCAAAACCCCAAATTGAAGTGACCTAAGGGCAAGATTGTAAGGCAACATCCGTTTTGGTCCTGGATTGGCTGGATTTTGGTCCCACTTAAGCTTGTGGGAATGGTCAGAATGAGGGCAGTGGGTACACATCTTTTGGGTACCATCAGTGTTAGGAGCAAGCATGTATGTTTTGGGAAAATGGAATTACTTTTTAAATTTATTAGCAGGCTAATCTACACCTGGCAACAGACCATGTGTTTGCTATAGTTTGTGTTTCCAGCCTGGGAGTTTAAGTAATTTTATTCTTGAGCTGCTAATTCGTTGGTTCATTCTGTCAAATCCCAGGGAATGAGGCAGTATCTGAATCAGGAAGCAAGAGTATGCATATTCCCCTCTCCCCCAACATTTAAGGAAAGCTTTGTGTTGCATGGGAAACTCTTTTTTATATACTGGATGTGAATAAAGATACATGAATAAATAAACATTTTTCCCAGATGCATGTTTGGTTGTTTTGTTAGTTGAAATCTGCATAAAACTGCTGTAAATGTCCTTAATAAAACATAGCTATTTTAAACATGTATGTGTATTTGGCACTTACTAAGGAAAAAGCAGTGGAAAGTGGGTCATTCTGTTGCATTGCATTGCACATTGAATTCCAATACCTGAATGCATCTTCCTTCATGGTGTGCCATAAAAGTAGAAGATAATTTCTGTTCATATATATTTGTTGAGTCACAGGTACAGTTTAATTCACAAATACCTTTGATGACCTGAAGCCATAGGATATATCCATTAAAAGCAAAAATAATATATTTCCACTTGCAATCCAAGAAGAATGCATAAGCAGTATGTCCATGCAACTCTCAGTTGCTCATCTAGAAAGATACCTCTTCATCCTTGTTTTAATAACTGAAAGGACTCCAATTTCTTTTTGAAAGATGACTGGTCTCCCTTTATTTCCCATATATCTTGGAAACATCGGCAGCCTACACTATGATTCCCAACCACATAAGGGAATAAGTCCTATAGAACACCATATGAGTTATGTCTTGAGTAAATTGTTAGCTAGCTGTGCCACAGGATGAGCCATGGCCTTTTCCAGGCAGATATCAGTAACCTACACAGATCAGCCTTATTGTCTGAAGTTCTCCATTAAATATTTGTCATTAACCAGTATCGGTTTCTGATGGTGTGAGAAGCTGCCAGGGCACCCCACAATCTAAGCTCAGAGAAGCATAAAGTGCTGGTGGGCTCATCCCTTTCTACCTCACGTGGCTCGCCTGCAAGCCTAGCTATACCTCCCCTGTCACAGCTAGTAATGACTCTGGCATTACAGTGAACTAAGCTAATCTAAAAATGCCACTTAAACCTATTTTTAAAAGACCTAAACACATTACTGGCAGGCCAATAACAGTAATCCCCTTACATGATTTTGGGATTAGGTCAAATTATGTAGTGCAATACAGTACTAATATCACTTAAGAAAGTTCTGCATGTTGAATATGTCTTCAAGTACCTTTTCATACATTATTATCTTTGTGATCCTCCAAAAGCTTAGTGAGCCCTCCACTTACCTGATCTGTTCCTAGCAGATGCTTTTACATTATGGAGTCCAAACAGAATGAGGTTTCTGACACGCTGCATATTTGAGTGTATTTACTCCTTGTTTTCTAGGAAATATTCAAGAGATAAGCTGCCCAGAGTGGCCTCAGATGGGTGGTATGAAAATTAAATAAGTAAGTAGGCAGAGATACATCCTGTAGCTCATGGTTATTGAAAGCACGATGTCACCATTAGAGTGCTTTACCCAGAGCAGATCTACAACTGATCCTGCATTACATTGCTTCATTACACTGGGGCCGCATGAGACTGCCACTTCTATCTGTGGCTTCTCTAATGGACAAACATAATGGGAAATCAATTCAGCACACCAAGCCTGCATCTCTTATGCTACAATTTGCCTCATTAGCAATTTGTGTCATTAAACAGCCAATACTGTCTGTTTCCTTAGGGTCTTCATGCACATATTGTGTCCAACATGTATGTCATCCCTTGTGGTTTTACAAAATACCTTCACACCCCTACCTGCCCAACAGCAAAGCTGTCCCCTATCCATGAAATGGAGGGGTTTTATTTCAAGGCTTTCTGAACTCTTGGACAAAGGATAAATCGCTACTGGATCATCTGGGGCTGATCTTCATATTTACCATCCATATAGGTGGCAGCAAGCAATGACCTGCCTGTTCGGCTAAACCCGAAGTCCAACACCTCAGGCCAACACTTGACTTTGCACAATGGTTTTCAATAGAGAATGGTCACACTCAGATGTGAAGAGACCATACAATGTGCTCATGTAATATGTAAACCAATCACCAGTTCTCCCATTCAGGCCCTGTGTGAAGTACCACCCACACAGAATGACCACCTCCCACATAAAGCAGATAATGGTCTCTGTTTCTAAAGATTTCTGGCCGCGTAACTCAGCGGTTTAGGTCTCTGGCTGTGGAGACAGCTATGATTCTTCACTGTACCTTCTGCAAGTAGAACCATCCCGTATGTCCTTGGACACGCTGCCCGCATTCTCAGGACCACCTCCAGAAAAAGGGAATGGGAAACCACTTCTTGAGTATTCTCTACCTGCAAAAACCTGAAAAGGTGTGCCAGAAGTCAGAATTGACTTGATGGCACATGGTTATTTCTAAAGATGAGGACTTCTAACTTCTAATGATTCTGAGTGAGTGGGAATTATTACTTTTAGAAAACAAAATACCTTGCTGGAAAATGCACCTTTATCTGACATCCCTCTCTGTAATGATTTGGAAGTGACCACCTGGTTTAGGGATTAAAAGATTTCAAAATAACCTTGTGCCTTCACTTACTTAAAAAAAAAAAGGATAGGAAAGTGGGGAACAGAAGTTATGACAGGTCCAGCCTAGAGCAAATGCACAGTGCTCATGCACCAAGGACCAGATGCAGCCTTCGAAAAGCCTTCTTACAGGGAAGAATTGTTTGTAGTGGAAATCTGCCTCCTGAGGCAGCATATGGAAATTATGGCATAAAATGAAGCTTCGAAATACAGATACTATGTTTTCTGTAGTCTCAAAAGTAAATTACTTAAAGCAAACCAGAAAGAAAGAAAGAAAGAGAAAGAGAGAGAGAGAGAGAGAGAGAAAGGAAAGAAAGAAAGAAAGAAAGAAAGAAAGAAAGAAAGAAAGAAAGAAAGAAAGAAAGAAAGAAAAGCATAGATGTTTGGCTAATTGAGATGTTATTTGTTGAAGGCCAAAGCCCTGACAGAATCTTTCATTAGAGGTCCAGTTAGTACCTACAATTTTTTCTTCTTATGGAACACCAATTGCCTGCCAATGCTGACTCTTTAATGTAGCAAAACAACCTTGCCGGCTTCATCTTAGAACTGCAGGGCTGAAAGGGACCCTACGGATCATCAAGTCAAGCCCCTGTGAAGGAGGCACTGTGGTGCAATTGAACTCCTATGGCTTCACCTAAACCACTGAGCTATTCAGCAATTTCTTTTTATGGATGCTGCAAAACTTAAAAACAAAGCTACTGTATTTGAAACCTATTGTTTGGTTAGGCTTGAAACAAATGAGTTCTGGGCTTTGGCGAAACCTATGGTTGCAATGTTCTTTCATTTTGAATGAATTAATGTTCTTGGTGCACCAAAGCATAAGCCTTCTGACTACCAGCCCCACCATAACCCAAGCACCTCTGATTTCAGGAGCTAATTAGAATCAAGCCTATACATGGGGGAGACACAAAGAAGTATGAGGGATGATGATGAAGAGCTAGGAAAGAATCCTGCCTGAAACCTAGGGCTAGTGGGATAATTATCTGGCTCCAGTGTTTCTGTGTCCTCTGTGTCCTCTGCAACTTTTTCATTCCTGACACACTTTTTCTGGTCTTGCCTCCTATAGTCCACTCTGCTTGTATAATCTATTTGTGCAATATTTCTATCTAAATCTTTGTTTTCCCACCCCATACCCAACATTCCCTGTGTTATATTTAGTGACTCCCGTTCTCTGTTCTTACTCTTCACAAAGTACTTCTCCTCCCTCTGGCTTCACAGTGGCTGTCACTAGCAGAGACAACACAACCCTAGAGCGAAGCTACATCAACCATATTGCACCACTGGCTGACTTTAATTCAGCCATGCAGGTTCATGCTGAACCCTTCCCCTTCAGGGCACCTTCACCACTAGAGGGTAGGAAAAAAACTCCATGTACTGTGAGCTGGAATTTGATTGCCATCACAGTTATGACTTCTGACTGAAGTGTCTGCTGGCTGGAAACGACCTACTGTGCTGGAGATACAAGTGCACATGATTTGCGACAAGATAGGAGGAGATCTGCTTATCATGCTACATCTTCCTCATCTATGTTGTTTATGGTGGACAGGCAAGGCAGCCCAGATAAGATAGAGGAATATGTTGTATTATCACTCACGGCCTGAACATCTGAAGCAGAGCATGGATCAGAGAGGGCCCTGTGGATAGCTGTGTTTGGAGTGGAACCAATTAAAAAAAAATACTTGTTAGGGCAGCTGTGACATTTGCTGCCAGCCCGCATCGGTATATTGGGACAGTAAAAGGTCTGTCTACCCATACAGTTTAGCTGATGTTGAGGGTTGTTTGCTTGGACTTTATAAGTCTTGCATGTTATGTTTGATGTATACAATTAAGTTTTCAACATGTTATAACTTATTCCAGGCCCTAGAGACAGGGCACAGTAAAGATGTGAAGAAGAAATAAATGCAAATGGATTTCTTTAAAAATAGCTTTAAGAGGTATTCCTTGCCAATAAACTGCAATTACTTAGATGGTAGGCACTTCTTCTGGATAATTCTGAATACATTAACATGACTTTTAAAGACTGATCTTTCCTTTGAATTAATATACTGATTAATGGGCATTGCACGTATGGCCTTCCAAAGCTCCCTGTGATGCTGTATATGAACATTTGAATTATTTCTAGATTTAAATAAATACTGTGTAAGTATCATATCAAACAACACGAGCTTGCTATTACTTTTCTGGAAGAGAAATGTAGACAGCTACACCTAGTCTCCCCTCTGATTTACTGACCTATCAGTTTTCTTGAACATATAGAATATGTGTTCATTTTTCTGTTTCTATTTATTTACATTTTTATCCTGCCCAGATAAAAGCGAAGCTGCGACAATGGATTTTCACAGCTCCATAAGCAACAAAGACAACATTTCCGGCCTTAAGGAACTTATGGCCAAATGATGTTGCCTCCAGCACAAGAATCACCCGTTCTTACACTGCAGGAACTGATCGAGAGAGGTGAAGGTGACTGCTGCCCAAGCAGTGGGGCTTCCCAGCCCCTCCTCCCCAAAGCCATGACTAGATTATGTGTGTCCACAAAGGGCTTGTCAACTCCTTTAAATCTAAATCTATTTATTATTTTAATGTACACAACCACCAGATACAACATCATGATGTTGTAAGCACGGAC